CAGTTCTGGGCCTAGACCTGGAGACTAGTTTATGGACTCTTGTTGGAATTGAATAATCACGTTTAGAAGTTTGGCTGCCTTGCTGCAAAGAAAGGCGTGGTAGGGGCGAAGTGCTTCTGGAGGAGAAGAGAATAAAGAAGGAGCTAGGTTTAGCGAGCCTCTAAGTATCCCCATCATTCCAGCAGTGACACTAGACATGCGACTGAAGTCATGTTGAATCCTCCAGCCCAAGTTAAGCCATTCCCAACCAACACCACATGAAGCAGAGACAAGCTGTCACTATGGTGTCCTGTCTATATTAGAGAATGGTGAGCAAGGAAATGGCTGTTGCTCTTCTAAGCTGCTATGTTTTGGGTTAGTGTGTTATACACACTAGGTAACAGACACTGATGTGTGAAAGTTGGTAGTAGCATACAGTAAGATGGTGGCATAACAAAAATCTAAAATGTAGTACAGGCTATGGGACTGGGGCATTGGTTGGAAAGGTGATGAGGGAACTCTAACTTAAAAAAAAAAACACCGTTAAATTAGCTTTTAAAATTTTTATTTTGAAACAATTTTAGACTTAAAAAAACTTGCAAAAATGAGCCAGAGTTGATGTATATTCTTCTAATATTTCAGATACCCAGCTGGCCTAATCTTAATAGATTACAGAGCCATACACTAATTATCAAAACCAGGAAGTTGACATAAGGTACAGACAAGCAGGTATTGAATTTTTAGTCATTAAAAAAAAAACTTTCGGTACATGATAAATAGGGTCAGCTATATAGAGGTTTCAACCCTCCCACTTGGGTTAGGAGATTTATTGGGTAGAAGAAAAAAGAAGAAAAACAAAATTTGAGAAGGGACATATCAATATTTTCCTTCAGGAGCCTGCTTAACTGTGGGAAGGGGAGGAGATTTTTATTCAGTAACTTCTATTAACTACCTGATATTGCTGTCTGGTTGACCAAATATCTGCCAACATTGGTGATCCTTTCATTCATGCCTCAAGAAAAACAGAGACCCAGTGCTTAGAGTAGCAGCAAAAAATATTTCCCATTTTCTCCCTTTAGCTGATGAAAATGCTTGAAGGCCACTCATATTCCCACACTTCAGTGCTGGTGATGCACACCCTCTCTGCACCAGAATCACTGGAGGGGATTGAAAAGAATCCTCTCTCCTCAAGCCTAACTCCAGGGGCACAAACGAACCCATTTTCTTCCCACGTGTGGATTTCAGAACTCAGATGCGGGAAAAGCCATCCTCACAATGAGTAGGCGCCAGGGACTCTGGGGACAAGCTCAGCGTCCTGAGAAACTAAAGTGGAACATTTTACTCCTCCCCAATTCACTTCCCTTCATTTAGCTTCATTTTCACTTTGCCTTTCCCCACCAAGCAGTGGTGGATATTCAGCTGAGCACAGCTCCGGTTCTTACAATGAAATCTAACGGGACATCTAGAAATCGGGGCCTCTTTGTCCCTGGTTATTTGTAAAATAAAGAAGTCTCTAGCTCACACTAGGCTGCGTGGACAGGATTTTCATCTTTGGAAACCAAAGCAGGAGTAGTCTTTTCTCCCACTCTTTCCAGGTTGTTCTCCATTTTCTTTTAACTTAGATCCTTGTCTCCCCAAGGCCCACCAGAACCATGCACCAAATCAGCTTCCAGTAAATATCAACACCGAAGGCTCAGCAGGATGCTAATTCTTGCAGACCCATCTTAAAAGGATGTTGTATTCAAATTACCAGATTTATGGAGCCTCCGAGATCGCTAAGAACATTGTAAGGTTTAATTAGTAGCCTTGGAGTTAGGTAATGGCCCATGGCTTCTAAGCTAGGATCTCTTGAGATTTCTAGTCTTCAGGGGCTGCCTGCAACTATGATGTGCTCATACACAATCTTCTTTCTCATACACTGAAGAAATCCTCCTTAGGCCTTCCTAGGCGCCTACTCCCAATTACTGCAACACACATACAAATGGATCTCCATTCTCCCAGTGCCCCTCAGCCTAAATCCTAACTCAATCTTTGGACTGCAATTGTCTCTTCGAGTTCTACTTCCCAGGGGAAAGAAAAGGAGGACATTTCCTAGATTGGTGTTGATGGATGCCTCTTTTCTCCCAGGCAGAAGGTGGACATCTCGTTTTGCAGCTGATCCATGGCCCGGTAAAAGTGCTCCAGTTCTCAAGCTTCCAGAACCAGCTCTCTCACAGGGACAGGTCTGCTAATGGGGCTGTAAGCAGACTTGACAGGTTTGTTCTGGGCTGACGGCCATTGACTAGGTCCTCCGACCAGATAAGTCACTTGCCACTTGCCGAGTTTACAGTAGGTGGGGCGCGCTCACCAGCTCAGGGTTAGTGCCTGGAAGTTTGTTGCAACATCGGTGTATCCCAGCAGCAGCAGGCCGCTGCAAAAGTTACCCTCTTGCCCCGAGAGCACGGCACCAGGAAGGTTCGCCCTCAGGGGCAGGGCACTAGCGAGGAAGAGACGGAGACAAACACAGACCTCCCGGGGGCCACAGCCCCTTCCCCTGCACTAGGTAGTGCGCAGGGTTAGCCGATCCAGAGCTAGGAGGGTGGGAGCAGCTTGGGAACGCTCTCGTTCCTAGGTCTGCAAGAAGCAGCGGCCTCAGCCAGCGGTGCAGGAAGGCGGGGGCACGTGCTTGGATGTGGGTGCTTGTGTAACCAGCTTCCCAGCCGGCAGCCCCCCCCCCCGCCCCGAGCTCCGGCTGGAGGCCCTTCCGAGCCAGTTTCCCCGCCGCGGGAACCAGCGGGCCCTGGGGTCCCGCAGCCTGCACCAGCGGGCGCACCCCGGGCGGAGGAAGCCAACCGCCCGCCTCCCCAGCTATTCTAAGGGGAGTGGGAATTTGGAAAGTTCCCCAACTAGGAGCACACGTGACCTGAAAGTAGTCCCGGCCGCAGCCCGGGGATCCCTCCACCTCCTTTTGAACCCTCCGCGGCCTCCCCGGCCCCGCCCACTCTCCGGCTGCAGCCTCCGCCGCGGCCGCCGCGCACTTCTCATTCCGGCCCCGCCGCCCGGGCCCCCGGCCCCCGGCCCCCGGCGCGGAGCCCGGCCCCGGGGCGGTCCGCCCGCTCGCGTTTCCACCGCGGCCCTAAGGGGGGGGGGAGGGGGCGGGGCGCGGAAGCCGGGGACCGAGCTTGAGTTGGACGCGGTGAACCGAACCCGAGCTCCATCGGGGGCAAGGGCTCGGCCCTCCAGGAGGCAATGCATGGGCGGCGGGGTGCAGCTACTACCCTAGGGATCCACTTTCAGTCCCCCCCCCCCCCCCGACAGCTGTCCTTTGGGAACCTGGACGTCCAGGGAGGATGTGCTCACAGTCAGCGCGCTCCCCTGGGAGCTTTCATTTTTGGGGGGCAGAAGGGCCGAGCGGCCGGGGAGGCGGGAGGTGGAGTGGGGGAAAAGGGGGTGCACACTGGAGACACAATAGGGGGTTGTGCTTTGTGCTAAGACTGACACCTTGAGGACACGGGGCGGGGGGAGGAGGAAGAGGAGGAGGAGAAGGGGGATTTTCCCGGCAAAGGCCGCTGGCTGGATTCAAACCTCCGCAAAGGGCTGGGAGCCCACAGCGGCGTGAGACTGAGCCTGCGGGCCGAGCCGGGGAGATCTCAGGGCGGAGGCAGGGGGAGGGGTGTCCCCGCTGCAGGGACCGGCCGGGCGCCTCCCTGTGCAATGACCAGCGCCGTCGCCCGGGCCTTTGCACCTGTGCCCAGGTACCTTCCCACCCGAGTCCGTGACATCGCGCCAAGCACCCGCCTCCGCGTTCCCCTTCGCCACCCCGCAAACCCTAGCCCGCCTCCGGCTGGGCTTCTGGGCGCCGGCCGGGGCTGAGCGCGCGTCCCCCCGCCCCGCGCTGCTGCAGAAGCGGCCGCGGCAAGTGCACCTACTGCGGGCGGGCGCCGCCGATCCAGCCCGAGCGGCCCCGGGCGCTCGCGCCGGGCATGCTCAGTGGCGCCCGCAGGGTGGGCGTTCGCACCCGGAGCCCCCCCCCCCCCCCCCAGCTGCCCGGCTCCCTCCCTCCCCTCGGCTCCCGGCGCGGCGGCGGCGGCGGCGGCGGAGGGGGCGGGCCCGCGGCGGCGGTGATGTGGCGGGACTCTTTGAGCGCCGCGGCAGGATACGCGCGGCGCGGCGCGGCGGCGGCGCGGCTGCGCTCAGCTCCCTCCTCTCGGAAGCTGCAGCCATGATGGAAGTTTGAGAGTTGAGCCGCTGAGAGGCGAGGCCGGGCGCAGGCGAAGGAGATGAGAGACGGCGGCGGCCGCGGCCCAGAGCCCCTCTCAGCGCCCGTGAGCAGCCGCGGGGGCAGCGCCCTGGGCGAGCCGGCCGGCCGGCGGCGGCGGCAGCGGCGGCGTCCCTCGCCGCCTCCTCCTCCTCGTCCTCTCCGTCTTCTCTTCTAACCGGGCGGCAGCCGCTTCCTGGGCTTCGGCGAGGGACGGTGGAAGCCGGAGCCGGCACCGGCGCGGCGGCACCTCCCGCTCCTGGAGCGGGGGGCAGAGGCGGCGGCGGCGGCGGCCGCGGCGGCTCCGGGGAGCGGTGCGGAGCCGCCCGTCACCATTTCCAGGGCTGGGGACGCCGGAGAGTTGGTCTCTCCCCTTCTCCTGCCTCCAACACGGCGGCGGCGGCGGCGGCACAGCCAGGGGCCCGGGCCGGCGCTGAGCCTCCCCTCCTCCGCCGCCGCCGCTGCTCTCCCCCCGGCCCGGGCTCCCGAGGCCGCCGCCGGAGGAGGCAGCCGCCCCGAGGACTGCTGCTGGTCTTCTCCCCCCCGGCCCGCCGCCGCCGCCGCGGCCCGGGGCCCGGCCGCTGAGGCCCCGCAGGCCCCGCCGCCGCCGCCCGGCAGCCGCCGCAGCAGCCACCCCCCGGCGGCGCCGAGCCCCGCGGCCGCCGAGCGCGGGGCCTCCGCGGCCGCCAAGTCCAAAGCCATTTCCATCCTGCAGAAGAAGCCTCGCCACCAGCCGCTCCTGCCGTCTCTCTCCTCCTTCTTCTTCAGCCACCGGCTCCCAGACATGACAGCCATCATCAAGGAGATCGTCAGCAGAAACAAAAGGAGATACCAAGAGGATGGATTCGACTTAGACTTGACCTGTATCCATTTCTGCGGCTTGCTCCCCCTTGGCCTTTCTGTCACTCACTCACTCTCTCTCTGTCTCAGAGCGTGGGAGCAGACGGAGGCGGAAAATGTCCATAGTTTGGGTGACGGTTGCACTGAACCCTGGTCGAATTTCTAGGAGGATATATATATATATATATATCTACACATATATAATATAGATATACACACACATATATGTCTATGTGTGTATATGTATATGCATATATATATGCATATATATATAAAATTTGTGTCTCTTTTGAGTGCATGCAACCTAGGATGTGTTCGGCTAGATGGGACTCTCCTCCCAGGTTGCAAGTGTCAAGGCAGCGATCGGTTTCCCAGTGTGTGTCTTGGGGTCCCTTCCCCGAGGGCTATTTGTCCGCTAATACGGAATACGGTTCGCTGTTGGGGAATGGTGAGCTTGGGAAGCCGGTCTGCTAAAGGAACAGGAGAGTAAGACGCGTTGAGGTTGAGCCTTTTTCGATTAAATCTTGGCTGTAGGCCCTAGATGAAGGGTATAGAGATCAGATTAAAAAATGAAAATTGCTGTTGCACGTACTACACCTATTGTATCAGAATCTTGCAGTGATTGTTCTTAGTTTCCTGGGCCGCCTTGATAGATTCTTTTTTTTTTTTTTTTTTAAATGTGAGCGGTGAGCTGATTTGCATAATTTTAGAAGCAGAATCATTTGCAGCCTGTATAGTGCCCGTGGGAGGGCAAAAGTAGGGTTTGTGTGTTTCGGCTAAGTTAATGACAACTTTGACCTGTGTGGAGAAGTTTTGTCCTTTGAGATAAGTGCCATCATATACCTCATAAGGTGCCCTGACTAGGTCTTTGTTACATTTGCCTTTCTCTCCTGATGGGGTGATGCAGGATAGAGCATGAAATTTGCAGTTCAAGTAGCATTTTATACTCTGTGCTCTGGTTACACCTAATAGAATGGAGATTGAGTGGTTTTTGATCCCAGATAATAATGTTGTGTAAGTTCAAGGGATTGTGTGTAGCAAATGGCGATCGCAAAGATTAAACTTAAGTTCTCACTTGAAATTTAAGTATTGTGATGCCAGAATTGCTACTCAACCTTATTTAGGTTTCAGGCCCTCTGACATCTTTCTGTATCCCTTAAATTTACCCTGACTCGTGTAGGATGTCAAGTGTAATTTACCAGCTAATAACCAGAAATGCTGGTGAGTGGGTTTCTCCAGCTTCAGATGGTAGGTATGTTAAGCTTTTTTTTTTGTGTGTGTGTGTGTGTGTGTGTGTGTGTGTGTGTTAAATTTACTGAGTCAGCTTGTTGAATAAGACAGAAACCCAAGCAATTTTAACGGTGTAGTGTATAGTTTTGATTGTCTACAAGTTAAGCCTTTGTACTTAGAATAGATAGTCGTTATCAAAAGGCAAGTAACCTTTGCAGTTTCAGGTATAATAAGCTGGTTTTGATCAAGGATGGGGATAGAGCCCCTCCTTTTTGTAAAATGGAAAGTATCACAGGAATTGAGAGTTACTGATAGGCCAGTGTATAAGGCATGAAAAATAGAACTAAGTTGCTGGTTTGAGGTGACTGAAACATTCTATTAAGGCCAAAAATTTGGTGGTGTGAATTGTAGCAGTGGACAATAGTTAAAATTATTGCTTAGGTGCTTATAGAGTATTCTTAGTAAAAATGATTTTAGCAAATATCATTAAACGTTTTGCTTTAAGGTAGACTAGCACTAACGTGTATATGTCTTGCTAAATATTGTGGGGAAGGGTTTTTTGTTTTTTTTATAAAGTAAACATTTTATATTTGAAGAAGTTATATTCCTTTGGATATGTAGTTTCACATAAATGTGCACAGCTAATTTTGCCCAAGTTTTGTTTTGAAATGATAAAAGTTCTTGACAAAATAGTTTGACAACACTCAAAATGTTAACAGTTTTCTAAGTTAAAAATAATATTGAAAAAATAATTGGAAATTTTGGAGGTTGCATTAATTGAAGAACTTCATTAAGGTTGAATTTGACCCACTTGCCTAGAAATAATTAATTGTAGGAAAATTTCTGATTTGTAACATTTCAAATGTTATGTATCATTGACAATCATCTACGGTAGAACAAATTAATTGTTTAAAAAAAAAACCATAAATAAAACTTCTAGAATGCCTTTTGGTACACAAATCAAAGTTCGTTTATGCTATTTATACTTTACCTATTTGATTTAAAATTATTAGGGTTGTAAAACTAAAATTATTCTGCCCACTTTTTATATGTGAGTGGTGATTGAGGTGGCTGGCTATTTCTCCTTTCATTTCATGTGTGCCTATATGTGTGAAATTATCTCTAAAACTGTATATTTAGTTATCGTATGCATAGAAAGCAGTATCAAATATATTGCATCAAATGACTAATAACATTTAATTTCTAGAGTTGTGATTTTATTGAGCCAAAGGTTGATATGAAAAAAAAAATTGCTTAAGAAAAAGTCAGTGAAGGACTTTTTTTTTTTTTTAATAGTTACATTTCCAATAATTTTGATATACAAAAACTTTCGTTTGCTTGGTTTCACTTTAGTGTTTTGTGTTTATTGTAGGGGGAAAATTTAAATGGCCATTGAAGCTTTTCTCTGGCAGGTTAGGTTGTAGGATCTGTTTCAACAGCTAGCCTGTTGAAAGTTAAATTCTTTTATGAAAGTAGCAACTGGAGTATTTTAGTTGATAGAGAAAGATTAATAATGAAGTGATTTCTCAAAGAAAAATTGAAGACCATAATTGTAAAAGATTTTTGCAAAATTGAATTATTCTAAAAATAATTTGTTGGCAGGGTTTTATTCTTAATGTTAGTCTGGAAAATGGTGCTGAACATGAGTCTATAAACTATGCAATGCCTTTAGATTTCATGAAAACTTTAGGCTTCTGGTATTTTTATTGTCTGATAAGTTTGTGTCTTTTCAAATAGAAACCTTCATAGGAAATATTTTTAAGTTGTAGAGAGAGTAGAGTGCCTATTGAAATTAGCTGTATTAGCTCTTAAGATTAGTGATTACTAAAATGACTATACTGTGAGGTGTTTTGTTTTTTTTAAATTTTTGTTTTACACTGTTATGTATCAAGTTGTATTTCTTTCTTAAACAACGTAAGTGGGCCACTTAATTGCTATGTGATTATTTACAAAACTTTATTTCATATAGCTTATTTAAGAATAAAGTGCATCTGAAAGGAGAATAACTTACAGTTTATATCATTCAATATAAGGAAAAAGGAATTTTATTGCTGTCTACTGTAAATGTTTGCACAGTAGTTATCAATGCAGCTTTACATTGTTTATGATATCCTAAAATACTAAAGGAATAGTATGATAAAATATGGTGAGCTATAACCACCTTAATTTTAAATTTAGTTTTCCAAAGATAATAAAGATGCATTTGTGTGTATTACCTTTTAGAATTTTAACAACATGAGAATGGTAGCTGCCAATATATTTTAATTTTTGTGTGGAGCAATTTATCTGCTTTTTCCTAATAACCACACATAATGTACAAACCTCTTAATGTTAGAAAATTCCTTGCTTTTTGGAAGTAAAGTCTTCAATTCTTACTTTCAAGGGTTCTTATTTTGAGATTTGCCCCATTTGCTGTTTTTCATTTGGTGATAGCTTAATATTTTAAATAATTTTTTAAAATATATTTTATTGATTTTGTACAGAGAGGAAGGGAGAGAGATAGAGAGTTAGAAACATCGATGAGAGAGAGTCATCGATCAGCCGCCTCTTGCACACTCCCTACTTGGGATATGCCCGCAACCAAGGTACATGCCCTTGACCAGAATCGAACCCAGGACCCCTGAGTCCCCAAGCCGACGCCCTATCCATTGAGACAAACCGGTTTCGGCTATTTTAAATAATTTTTAAGGCTCTTAAGAACTAATCATTTCAGTGACTTTTGATGGAGGAGTATTTATTATAGGAAAATCAATTCACAAAGTTTCAATGATAATTGACACTCAGTAAACATTATATTTTTAAATTTTTACCCCAGCCTTTTTAGTAAGATAAAAGTATGGGAAATGTTTTTATATTAATATTATATGTGAAATCAGAGTTTGTAAAAAGAGATTTAGAAGTGTTCATGCATATAACAGTTTTTTACTTATTTGAAATATTAAGCCTTGGCTGTACTATCAGGATTTAGCTTCCAGAATATATGTTATTAATGTAGTATAAGAAATTTATTTGGTATCGTTTTTTTAAAAAGACTCCATTAGTTCTGAATTTTTCTATTTTGTAGAACCCTCATTCTTATTCTTTCTCTTCCCCTATCCTCCTTCTTAGATAAACTTGATTTTAAGTATAGACATAGAATTCTTTTGTGGACTGAATTCATTAAGGAAGGTGTTAGGATTTGTGCTAAGGATAGTGATTTAAGACATTTGTATCAACTTGTGAGATTGGGGTCAGTAATGATTTCAGTAAATACCCAGTTCTGTTTTACAGTTGCTTTTTATCTGTTAGTTTTGAAATTAGTGCAGTTGCTATCAGGGATATCAATAATGTTGAGGTTAGACTTAAGTTGGTAAGGATTTATTGAGTAAGTTGAAATCATAATTCTTTCATATTAGTCATATGCAGCCACATGCCTTCTTTGCTAGATGGCCAAAAGTATTTTGGTATGTGAATAATAAGTCTCTTTGGAAGTATTGAATATATGCACTTGCTTTCATTTGTCAGGAAAGATGAAATTAGTGTTTTAGATTTGACTATTTACCTATCCCCTAATTTTTTGAAAAATTTTCATTGGTTACAGATATTAGCAATTTGGTCCTTTTACTGTCGATATAACTTGCACAATAATAAAAAAAAATGGTTGTTGGAAAAATACTAATATAAAAAGAATAATTCAGGGCGTGAAATAATTTTGGATCCGGAGTTTTCATTTAATTCCAGTGTAGTTAAGGCAGATACTCTTCATTTGCAGCAGTTGGCAGTTAAGAGATGGGTGGATATCTTCAGATTACTA